AACACCCTGCTGTCACTTCTGCTACTACAGGTATGGCTTCTGTCAGCTCGTCAGCAGCCTCGCAACCTACCTGCAGCGCTGACAAATGCAATACATTCTCGCCTCACCCTACCTCGGCATCAGCTGCGACGAGAGCACTGACCGTACTCGCGGTAAACATCTTATTGTTTATCTGACCTTCTTGCGTGCGCATCGTGTTGTCATAGAGTTTTTTGCTCTCCTGACCGTCGAAAAGTGCGATGCCGCGTCTCTCCTCGCCGTTCTTCTGGCTCACTTGCGAGCAACTGGCATCGACCTCTCCCGAATCACCGGCATGAGCACCGACGGTGCCTCTGTCATGGTCGGCCGAGACAATGGTCTCGTCGCCCGACTTCGCGAGCACATCCCCCACCTCGTCTCGTCGCACTGCATCGCCCACAGGTTTAACCGCTTGTCATTTCAGTCGCTTAGAGTTCCTACAACTGCTTGTCTAAAATTCCTTCGTGTGCACCATGCAGGGAAGCCTTGGCGGTGAAGGACGCGGCCACTGCTTCTCCAGACTTCGACATGGTCGACCTTGTGATTCGGACTCTGGCCGATCTTCTGGGACGTTCCTGTGTCTGGAGTCAACGCTTCAAGTACCTGCAGCAGGCAATACACAACACCAATCTTGAAGTGCAAGGAATTCACACCGTGCGCTGGCTTTCAAGGGGTGAGGCTGTGAGGCGCCTCTGTAAGGTCCTTGGCGCCGCTATCATTATCTTTTATGAGTACGGGCATGAGCTGTATGAGGTCGTCATCTGTTACAAGTTCCAGTTCTGTCTTTTTTTCCTGGCGGACGTGCTCGGAGTGATGAATGAGCTCAACCTCAAATTCCAGAAGAGGGAGGTGAGCTTCTATCCCTGTTAATGTTGTAGTTTTTGTCCCATGCATCCACCTTTGGAATCACCCTCTGACTCCACTCCCTTGTCTGTCACTTCCATCAGGTCGATGTCACCGAAGTGACAAAGGACATCGACGAGGCGACAGGGGACCTCCGCCACCGCTACTTGGAGTGCGGAGAGGTGTTCGGTGGGGGTGTCGAAGGCACGTGGCTTTCGGCTTTCTTGGCGGTCTACGGGCGCGGAGGGGGCAAACGCGTAAAGGTGCGGGGCATCGACAAAGACGGCAACCCAGTCACGCACACCTACACCATGCACGAGAAGCAGATCGACGGGCATGCCTTCCGCAGCAAGTACCCCGATTGCGAGCGGCTTTGCGCGCAGTTCGCGAAGGACACGATAAGCTTCCTGAAGACGAGGATGCTGGACCTGAACAATCTCGGCCCGACGAAGCTCTTCCGCGTGTCAAAGTGGCCCCGGATGAAGCAGCAGAGAGAGAAGAAGCTGAAGGAGTACCTACATGGCTGCAGTGCCTTGTTCGAGAACAGGCTGACAGGCTTTTCCTTGCAAGCTGCGCAGAAGGAGCTGGTCACGTGGGCGCCACTGATGCTGAGCCACCATGCCGACGAGGGATTCCATCAAGGCCTGACGAACTACCTCGGCTCGACGGAGTCGACCTTGTGAGAGAGTGCTGCTCGAAGGACGAGTGTTGCATTTTTTTCTTCCCTTTGGATGTTGTTTATCGATTGTTGACTAGCATCGCTAATGCACTGGTCTTGTTCCGTATATTCTATTCCCCCAACCCTTTTGGCAGGCGCTGGCCCAACCTCATGCGCTTGTGGCAGGCGTGTGCTGTCCTGCCGCTGAGCACAGTGGAGTGTGAACGAGGCTTCTCGCGGCAGAACGTCGTCAAGCCATGGGTGCGGGGCGCGTTGTGCAATGCGCGCCTCAGCGAGCTGATGGTCATTTCCCTGCTGTAGTACGAGACTGACTGGGACGAGGCCCTTGAGTGTTGGCGCGAGAAGCTGAGGCGCCCTGCTAAGTCTGTTCTGTTTGCCGCAGCGGAGAGGAAGCGTAAGGCGAAGGCGATTGAGGGGGCACAAGTGAGGGTGGAGGAGGAGGCAGTCCCCGACTACATGGGGGATTGGGCAGAGGATGAGGGAGAGGGGGAGGGGGGAGTGGGGGGAGAGGCTCCTCTTGAAGTGGAAGACAACCCGTTTCTGTCCGATGACGAGGCAGAAGACGAAGTGAACATGGATGGCCCAGAATTTTAGTCAAGTGTAGGTAGTGGAGTGGAATCTTGTGAAGTCTAGACTAGATAGAGGACTTGTAAACTGGCGTGGTGTAGTGGTGCTTTTACTTAACTAGTAACTGTACATTCCTAGTTGATTTTTTCCAAGTGCAATGCAACCCTGATTGTTGATAGCCAACCCTGGAGATTTCAGGGTTGTAGGTTCCAGAACACTAGGAAATCAGGGAAGTCAAAATTCCAACACTTGGCCCTCAGGGTAAATTTTTTTCTACATTCGACAGCTCAGGGTGCTATTTTTTTAAATGTCAGCCCTGATCGCGCCAGCACGATTCGTCTCAGAAAAGGAAGTTTCCAGCCTGGCACCGCGTTGACTGGACTTCCAACGCGATTGACTTTTAATCCTCGCATAAAATTACTCCCATTGCACACGACAAACCAGCAGCTACATGTCGATGTCAAACTTTAATTTTCCATATAATCCCTATAAAACGCCCATGGGCTTATATTTTTTATTCAATTAAACGCCCCCCCACATTTTCAAACCAGTCTAGTAAACGCCCCTAGGGGCGTCTATCCGGGTGATTACGGTATATGCGTTTGTTTTCGGGCGACTTGGGAATGACAAGTTTATGGCTTGATTTTTTTTGGGGCCGCAAATGCAGTAGAGACAAAGCCGCAAATTTTTATCATCGCCGGACGCGCTACACTCTGGGACAAAATTATGTGCTTCGAAACAAAATCGTGTTTTCGTGTTTCTCGACAAACAAATGTCCAACGAATTTTGATTAGGGCATTTTGTGTTTTTTCGCTCGAACTGCGCCTGGAGCTTGAGAAAAATATCGCGCCAGCCACAATGGTGACGAAATCGGGCTGGCGCGGGCGGGAAAACGTTCCGAAACGGGCGAGGGTTACTTCTATTGACCATTCGTGGAGCCTCGCCCGAATGGTCAGTAGTGTTCAAATTATATAAGTTATAATTTAATATAGGCTTGGTAGGTTGTTACTGAACCTTTCTGTAGGGGGTACAAACCCCTCCTTGTACTCCCCTCACTTCCTAATCCAACACTCTTCTCTCTCGACACTCTCGTCCAGGGTCTCAGATATCAGACGAAATCCGTCTGATGGTCTGAAAATCAGACCTGTTTTTTTGCTTTCATCTGATTTTTTGACGGGGTGAATTATTTCGTCTGATTGTCCATCTCAGTCATTAGATTTCGTCTGAAAGTTCAGACTTGGTGTATTTTTTCGTCTGAAATGTCAGATAGCGCGTACAATTTCGTCTGACAGTAATCGCCAATTATCCCACTGCGCCAATGGGTCACCTCCCCACTGCCCCAGACTCTGCCATCCTGGTCGTGGTCGGTGAGATTTTTTTGGCTAAGTCCTCGACTGCCAGATACATTCCCCCACACCCCTAGAATACCTAGTTTTTCCGGCTAAGTGCCCCACACAAGAGATATTCATCCACACACCCCTCGCAACAAATTTTCGGTTAAGTCTCCCAAACCAGATTCATTCATCGACACACCACACCAACCCAAAAAATTCGGCGAAGTCCTTAACTGCAAGAAACATTCCCCCACACACCCATTGCAGCCCGGTTTCCAGCTAAGTCCCTGCTACCCTGCTTCCACACTGTTTTTTCTGCTTCGTCGCTTGACTGGACTGGGGGCGGGCTGGAAGGAACCCTGAAATTGCTGGGCAAAGAGAGGGGGCTGCCTGCACGTGGCGCGTCGCGCCACCTGCAAGTGTTCCTGCCAGAATCCGAAGGCGTGTGTCTTTCAGTTCCGAAACTCAGCAAGTTCCGGAACCGGGTTTGGTTACACATTTCGCAGCTCATTTCGACAGGGCATCGCGAGCTCCTCCCCAGGCAAAGTTTTCGCCAGTTCCGGAACTAGTTCCGGAACTTCCAGAAGCGGAACCGTAAGACACACGCCTTTAGAGCATTTTCCTACGGCCTCTGCACAGGCCTCCCTGTTCCCAGACTCGCACGCTTCAGTGCCGTGCAATTACTCTTGGGCTAATCTGTGTGGTTCAGACTGACGAGTTTCAGGGCATGTTCTAAACTTCTTCGTCGGCGCACCTTTTCCAGACATGCGCGAGTCTCTACAGTTCGATTCTGACCCGAGCAGAATGAAAGTGGTTGAGAATGTGATACTGAAACGAAGTGAGCTTGACAAGGAAACCTTTGAGCACGCTCTCAGCCGATGACCGAGTCAGGGAATTGGGTAGCCTGGGAAGAGGTTTGTAAGAAAACGCTCTTAGCAGGAAACGAACAAATCGAGGTCGAAATTACGAGGGACGAATATTCTTGCGCAAAAATTTCGTCTGAATTTTAAGACCAGTGTAAAAGTTTCGTCTGAAATCTCAGACTCTTTGAAAATTTTCGTCTGATGGTCAGACCAAACTTTGAAACCTCGTCTGATTCTCAGACGACCCCAAATTCTAGCTGAAACCCTGCTCTCGTCCAGCTCCTATCTAAACCCCGCCGCCACATTCATGGCAGCCTTGTTCCTGCCTAGTATCCTAGCCTAAGAGCTACCTTTAACAAGTAGAACGGGCGAGGGTTACGTATAATTTATAATTTGTAGTTTTTGACTAACGGTGGAACCCGACTGATGAAACATGTTGCAAACTCGCTAATTCTGATTGTTTATATCGTGTCACTGACCGTACATGTTATCGGGGCCCCTAATACTGAGCGCCGATGTATTTTCCCTTGGTTATATCCCGATGTTATACCACCTCATTCTAGTTAATTCGTTCTACTCTATAGACATATACAAATTATATAGCTAGCCTATAACATATACAAATTATATAGCTAGCCTATAACATATACAAATTATATGTTGATAGCTAGCCTATAACATATACAAATTATATGTTGACACGCTCCCTGGAGAGAGAAGAGGTTCGACAAGGCTATCCCAGTGCCACGACAAAAATGAGAAAATTGGAGAAAATTTCAGCGCTCCAACAATGTGTTGCGGAATGCATGCTGCCGCCAATTAACGGCCACCTGACAATGCGCCCACATCGCAAAAACCTAAGCTGATTCCATCTGGCGACAAGGCAAGGAACAACCATGATAAAACCCCTCGACATGGTCAAAAGGACTCCCTAGGTCCCCTTCACTGAGGAATCCAGACAGTTGTGATATTGCGGATTCAATGTCATCCCCAGCCACTTGATACCAGCTTGTTGCTTCACACGGACCTGAAAAGCTGGCAGGAGTCCAGAAGGGCGGAATTTCCAGCCCTCGACAAGATGAGTCATGGCCCCCAAGAGACACAGGACTCCAACAGTCAACAAGCCCTCCCCGTTGCTGCTGGCCCAGAAACTTCCTCCTTTTCCCCTCATTGTCGTTCTCTTGCCACACCTCTTTTCTTTTGCGTGCAACTTCTCCCTTTTCCCAAACAGAGTCCCCCCTCAGCCCTGCAGCCTCTGGCATCCAGGTGTCTTCTTGGGCCAGCGTCGTTGTGGGAGCCAGCGTCATCCTGCTCCAGTGGGCCCTTTCAGACTGCTCCTCCTCCCCTTCCCATGCGCATGACAAGCGGTTCTGCCCAGTCCCAGCAAGAGCCTCACCACCATGCCTGTCCAGGCCCGGCAGAGCCTCGGGCTGAGGCTCGGGGTCCGTCTGAGCACCACTGCTGGTGGTGCTGGTGCCGGTATTGAGAGGGGTGGCGGAAGGCAGGAGGGTGTCCGGGTCCCAGGTGGGTGTTGTCCAGAAGATGTCTGATGGGAGGAGATCGAGTCCAGGTACACATGGCAAGGGCTCCTCTTCCAAGAAGACAGGCCTGCGCCCACACCGTTCCTGCTGTATCAAGGACACAGCAGCAGCAGGAGCAGGAGGAGCAGCAGCAGCAGCAGCAATGGCAGGAGCACGAGCAGCAGCGGGAGGCAGTGATGGCGTTTGAGGGGTTTCAGAAGGTACTGACGACGTCAGCTCAGTGTCGGGCACCTGCCAGGCCACACGCGTCTGCTCCTGCCTACTCTTTGGCACCCCCTGCACCGCCTGCACCCCCTGAAACGCCAACATCGCCTTCATCGCCCCTGCCTCTGAGCTGATCCCCCCTGCCGCTGTACCACCTGCCTCCGCGCCTGCCAGCAGCGCCAGCAGGTGCTGCACTTGGTCAGACGACCACTCCACGACCGCGCTCCCCTGCGACAATGCGGGGCCCGGCTGAAATGCCACTGCAGCGTGCGGCTGGGCGAAGGCAGGGTGACTGCGAGCAACAGCCAATGCAGGCTCCAACGGCTCTGCAGCCACCAAGGGCTCCCGTGCCTCCCATGCCTCTCGTGCCTCCCGTGGCTCCTGTAGCCCCCGTGACTCCCGTGTCCCCCATGTCTCCCGTGGCTCCCGATGGAGGCCACAGCTGGTGGGCCCACTGGCCGGAAAATTGGCAGACGGCAGCGGCGGAAAGCTCGTCAACGCTGGGTGAGAGCCACCGTGGTGTAGGAGAGGCGGCTCTACCCCCAAGGATGCAGTAGTCGTCGCCGCCGGCGCCGGCGGTCGCAGCGTGACAGCAGGCTCCATCAGGTCCGACTCGTGACGCATTTCACTCGGCTGACTCCGTAGACTGCTTGGCTCATGGGCAGCAGGCTCCATCAGGTCCGTCAGAAGGCTTGCTAGCTCGGGCACGAGCAACTCAGCTTCAAGAGGTGGCTCGCACGCACTGCCAAAGCCAGAGCCAGAGCCAGAGCCGGAGCCAGAGCCAGAGCCAGAGCCAGAGCCAGAGCCAGAGCCAGAGCCAGAGCCAGAGCCAGAGCCAGAGCCAGAGCCAGAGCCAGAGCCAGAGCCAGAGCCAGAGCCAGATCCAGCGCCAGCGCCAGAGCCACCACCGTCTGCTGCCTCGCCCCCGCTGGTGCTCCTGCTAGTGCACTGACTACTAGCTCCAGCTGTAGCCGCACCGTCGCTCGCGTTCCTCTCGTTCACTATCCACTTGCTTGCGCCTTCCTGCAGAGGCGTCGCCGGCGGCAACAGATCGGGCGGCTGCAGATGGGGCGGCTGCGGGTGGTTGTGTGAGCCGCCGCTGTACGTGACGGTGACAGTAGAGGGGGAGAGCGGGCGGCGCATGTCCATGTCAACGGTCTTCTTCATCGGGCACGTGGCGCTGCGGAACGACGCGCACCGGTAGTAGCACCTGCGCATGCCGCGGCGGCAGATATGGGAAAGAGTCGGCAGTGGCAGAAGAACAACCAGACGTGAGAAATGGCCCGGGAGGGGGAGGGGGGGGGGGGGGGGGGTTGTTGTATATCGGATATGGTGATGATGATGCAAGGGACATCCGACAGTAGGGCAGGACTACTACAGCGCGGAATGGAGACGAATTTAGTATGCATGCACTGCTAGATTTGTAAATAAACCAAAGCCCCAGGTGTTCATCAGTTAACCTCCTGCACAGTGCGAGACGACTACCAAGCACCAAAGCCCAAGGTTTTCTCAGGTGGCAGTACAAGCAGTACCTGACGGTGCTGCGGCATCGCGCGAGCTGCTTCTGCCCGTACTTGAGCCAGCAATGCCCGTCCGTGCCGTGCACGGCGCGAGCCATCTCCTCCATCGCGCCGCGGAAATGCTCCTTCCGACCACCAGAAGTAGTGGCAGTAGTAGTAGTAGTCGCGGCCGCCGTGGCCGCAGTGGTCGCCGCGGTCGCCGAGCCAGTTAACTCAGAGTCGGACTCTGATCTGCTGCCGCTGCCGCTGCCGCTTCCGCAGCTGCCGCTTCCACCGCTGCCGCCGCTGCCGCCGCTGCCGCCGCTGCCACCGAAGCGGTGGTCCGAACCGTCACCGTCACGGTGAGGCTGCGGCGGCGTCCGCCCCCCCGCCGCATCGCGACTCGGAGTCGCGCGCCTGCCACTGCCAGGGTCAGAGCCAAGGCCAGAGCCACTGGCGGAAGCAGAGGCGGCAGTGCCGAGGTGGTGCTTCTGCTGCGACGGCGACGCTTCTCCTTCAATGACGAGTTCTATTTCCCGCAGCAGCTGACTCGGCGTTGGCGGGAGTGCTACTAGCCATGGCGGCGGCGGCTCAGCTAGGTGGCCCCCCATCAAGGATAAGTCGCGCGGCGCGGCGGGAGCGGTGCGGCGGCGGCACCCAGCCGAGTTACTCCGGAATTGAGCGGCCCGAACTAAGCCGGGACGCCGTAACGTGTAGTACTAATAGTAGTAGGCGAAACTCAGATGGAACCGAACCTAATTAATCCAAGGGAAGGGTGGAATGATAGGGTGGAGCGACGACTATAGTAGGCGATGCCTTGCAAAAAACGCCGCAGTCGTCGGTCGGAAAGCCTGGTCAGACAGGAAGGGGTCGCATCTGCTACGGTAGCTACTGTGACGGACGTGTAGCAGCACAGAGTGGGCCACTAGTAGTGGTACTACCAGCTAGTAGCTGTCTTTGGTCATGAGCTTCGAGTCGAGGTGGCTTCTGAGTCAACTCAGGAGTCCTCCGCGGGGGGATTGGGAGCATCCCAGCGAAGGAAGGGACACAGCCAGGTGGCATGAAAGGAAGGACAGCTGCAGTAGAACAACACAACATCATCCACCCCCTCTACGGACCGCGCGGGTGCGCGGAATCAGTGGTCGCTGCGCCAGACAACAGCGGGCACTGTACTGACCAGCGGTGGCTACTGTACCCGCGGCGGGTGCGCCTACTGGCGGACGTCACGTTGCGCGGATGCATGATGCTTGCGTTCAGCGCGTTTTTACGCGTTTTCAACGCGTCGTAACGCGTGTTATCGGGTACTGTACCGCACACGGCGATACTTCTCGCGGTACAGTGGGACCGGACTGAGGTAATGTACAGAGACGGGATAGACGACGGCACGCGTGACTCGTAGTGAGGTTTGCTTCGAATTTGAACGCCAACCAACCAACCCGCCCGGCGGCCCCCTACTGTACTGTATTGTGATTTATAGCCACTCCGCTCCCCCGGCCGGGGGAAAAGGTGACTGAGGGCCGGCCGCTCGACATCACCGCGGAAGGGGAGCCTCTTGGGAGAGGGAGAGAGGGTGGGGTCGCCGGTGCCGAAACAAACTCAGCTTAGTATGGCAGAATGTTTGGAGCATGAATTGAGAAACTGCTACAGTTTTGGCCATCACATCAGCCCCAGTTCTGATCGTTGTTTGGTGGTGGACATGATGCGAATCAGGGAGAGAGCAGACGAATCGCACAATGGAGTTTTCACATTACGTATCCCCACATCGAATTGATAATTCCGAGGGTGGACGTCGTGGGGGTGCCAGGCCACAAAAAGGTTTCAAACACCCAGTCAAAAAGTTTCGAAGATTATAGACGCACTTTCAAAAACATGGCCAACCGACAACAAGATGCAAAAGCCACTCCAACGAAAACGCGGCCAACCGACAAATTTGCCGGGAATCACCACCTCGCACACTCAATTTTTGCCAAGCGCCGCTTTCCATTTGCACTCAAGCCAATCACATTTGTTTTTCGCTGCCTGTCGAGATGCCTGCCGAAAACAGCCAGGTTCCCTATGGGGTGTATATGTTTTGGGCACCCCAGAAGCGATATGACTGGCCTGAGTACAAATAAAAATGCGGCTCAGACATTATTTGAGTGTAGGTGATGCCCGCGTTGAGATAACCGCTTGGGCCGATAAGAAAATGGAAAATGTCGACTTCGGGAAAATTTCAAAGCCTGCTGATTAAAACACGCCCTAAACGTCTAGTACAAAGTTGAAGAGGATCAGGCTGGATCACCTTTACCATAAGTCTGCCGATGGGGTTTAACGCGTCTCAGTAGGGTGGAGAGCATTTAGCGTGGGTGAAGCCTGGTGAGAAATCGATCATGGGTGCCAAACTTGCGATCGCCAAATTATTCTTGACTAGAGCGCGACGGCGTTGCGTTCCTTCGTGGCGTGGCGTGCGTGGGTGTGCTGTTGGTTGATCCCTCTTTCTTGGTGTCGCGCCTGTAAACGACACACGGGAATAAGGACAGCAAGACCACCTAGGTTTGTGGACCATTTCTGAACCGCAGTACAAATTATTTTCGTTTTCGATTCTAGACGTTTTCAGATGCAGTCTAACTACAACGCGCAGATATTTCTCTCTGGTGCTTTCACCATTGGCAAATCTTCTACTATGAGAGCGCCAACTGGCTGTCTGTCCCTAGTGTGCCAATGCCGACCAAAATGGCAGGAAAATAGACGAATGTTTAAATCCAGAAAATACATTTAGGTTGAGAATTTCAAATTTTAAAGATTTGAGAATCAGTAATCCCACATACCTCCCAGTATTCTCTCGCTCTCTCCAGGCCTCCAATTATTTACAACATTTGAACGAGGTACCTAGATTGTAGACTGAGATCGCGTTCTGAAGTTGGGCGGACAACCAAGTTTTCCCTTCGGAACCAAGTTTCCTCTCCCAACAAAGCTTTCCTGTCCGCAACCTATTTTTCCCACACTGTTGATGCGAACCTTAACCGATTGAAAGCGAACAGCTCTTGGTCGCGCCCAATCAGGAACCGCCTGGGGCCCAGACGACAAGGGTTACGAATTGTGGAGAAAATCGGAACCCTAGCGAAAATCGGGCGGCCAGGTTTGTGAAAGAGCAACGGAAAATCTCGCCATTGGAAATAAAATTTCCTTTCTTCGCATTTCAACACATTCTTTCAGGTTTGGCAGAGAATGGGTGTTTCTGGGCAGCAGTATGACGCTTCCGTACGATTCCCACCATCACATTTGACCACGTGGGTCGCCCTCCTAGCAAAAATTGACGGCCCTTGTGGTCGCATTCTGTCTTGCACCCACGTCGCAGGGGTCCCAGGCGTCAAGTGAGGTTTGGCCAAAACCCGAGGCGCATGGGCAAACATTGGAACTGCATTTTCGACATTTCGAGTTGCATGGGAGAAAGTTGCTTGTCGGCCCAACTTCAGAACTCGGCCCAACTTCCCCCTCCCTAGATTTCGATCCCTTCTGCCCCCCCATTTTGATTTCCACCAGCCCCCCAATTCCGATTTCCCCTAGCCCCCCAATTTGGATTTCCTCCTGCCCCCCAATTTCGAAGCCCCCAAGCCCCCCAATTCCGATTTCCCACAGTCCCCCAATGTCAATTCTTCCCTCCCTCAATTTCGACTCCCACCCTCGCCGAAAATGACGAGGGCAAAATGGTCTCGCTTAAAGCGAGCGGACAGACCAAACTCAAGACTCAAAGGTTTTGAGTTGTACTACACGCGAAAACGGGCGCGACAGAAACACGGTAACCAAATACACACCTGAGGGGTGCGATTTTGAGATCGGGGAGAGGTGACGTGCTATGCGACGCCTGTCCCAACCCAGCGACGGAACAAGCAAAGCCTTTCCACCCGCCACACCAAGATCCAAAGCTTTTGCTTTTTACTCTGTACTCAGTGGCAATGGCTCCTTCCCGCCATTCTCGCTCGCGAACACAGTGCTTACCTACCATGTCAGTAGAAAAATGTGCGTCTCTGGTAGCGGAACCAAGTTCCAGTAACACTAACAACTACTTCGTACCAAATCGCGCCCCCGCGCAGCATGCTAGTCCCGAACCAGCACGCAACACAAGCACTCCAGGGCGCGCTACGGAAAGACCTGAACAGCTATATCCTCGCCAGCGCCAATCCCGCCCTAACGCTGCGCCAATCCCGCCATAACGCTGCGCCAATCCCGCCCTAACGCTGCGCCAATCCCGCCCTAACGCTGCGCCGATCCCGCCCTAACGCAGCGCCGATCCCGCCCTAACGCAGCGCCAATCCCGCCCTAACGCAGCGCCAATCCCGCCCTTACGCAGCGCCAATCCCTCGCTAGCCCAGCGCCAATCCCTCGCTAGCCCGACGCGTCACACCACATAGTACCCCGCTCTGCGACGCGCTTGCCCTGTCCGCCTCTCTCCCATGGTCCCCTTTCCCATGGTCCCCTCTCCCATGCTCCTGGCAGGAAGGGGGGATTGCTTCCATGCTACGGAAGGGGGAGAAGCAGGAAAGTGGAAGGGGGGGAAGCAGGGCAGTGGAAGGGGGGGAAGCAGGGCAGTGGAAGGGGGGGGAAGCAGGGCAGTGGAAGGGGGGAAGCCGGGCAGTGGAAGGGGGGGAAGCAGGGCAGTGGAAGGGGGGGAAGCAGGGCAGTGGAAGGGGGGGAAGCAGGGCAGTGGAAGGGGGGGAAGCAGGGCAGTGGAAGGGGGGGAAGCAGGGCAGTGGAAGGCGGGGAAGCAGGGCAGTGGAAGGGGGGGAAGCAGGGAAGTGGAAGGGGGGGAAGCAGGGCTGTGGAAGGGGGGGAAGCAGGGCTGTGGAAGGGGGGGAAGCAGGGCAGTGGAAGGGGGGGAAGCCGGGCAGTGGAAGGGGGGGAAGCAGGGCAGTGGAAGGGGGGGAAGCCAGGCAGTGGAAGGCGGGGAAGCAGGGCAGTGGAAGGGGGGGAAGGAGGGCAGTGGAAGGGGGGAAGCAGGGAAGTGGAAGGGGGGGAAGCAGGGCAGTGGGAGGGGGGGAAGCAGGGAAGTGGAAGGGGGGGAAGCAGGGCAATGAAAGGGGGGGGAGCATGGCAGTGGAAGGGGGGGAAGCAGGGAAGTGGAAGGGGGGGAAGCAGGGCAGTGGAAGGGGGGGAAGCCGGGCAGTGGAAGGGGGGGAAGCCAGGCAGTGGAAGGCGGGGAAGCAGGGCAGTGGAAGGGGGGGAAGGAGGGCAGTGGAAGGGGGGGAAGCAGGGCAGTGGGAGGGGGGAAGCAGGGAAGTGGAAGGGGGGGAAGAAAAAAGGGCAATGAAAGGGGGGGAAGCATGGCAGTGGAAGGGGGGGAAGCAGGGCAGTGGAAGGGGGGGAAGCCAGGCAGTGGAATGGGGGGAAGCAGGGCAGTGGAAGGGGGGGAAGGAGGACAGTGGAAGGGGGGAAGCAGGGAAGTGGAAGGGGGGGAAGCAGGGCAGTGGGAGGGGGGGAAGCAGGGAAGTGGAAGGGGGGGAAGCAGGGCAATGAAAGGGGGGGAAGCATGGCAGTGGAAGGGGGGGAAGCAGGGCAGTGGAAGGGGGGGAAGCAGGGCAGTGGAAGGGGGGGAAGCCGGGCAGTGGAAGGGGGGGAAGCCAGGCAGTGGAAGGCGGGGAAGCAGGGCAGTGGAAGGGGGGAAGGAGGGCAGTGGAAGGGGGGGAAGCAGGGCAGTGGGAGGGGGGGAAGCAGGGAAGTGGAAGGGGGGGAAGCAGGGCAATGAAAGGGGGGGAAGCATGGCAGTGGAAGGGGGGGAAGCAGGGCAGTGGAAGGGGGGAAGCCAGGCAGTGGAATGGGGGGAAGCAGGGCAGTGGAAGGGGGGGAAGGAGGGCAGTGGAAGGGGGGAAGCAGGGAAGTGGAAGGGGGGGAAGCAGGGCAGTGGGAGGGGGGAAGCAGGGAAGTGGAAGGGGGGGAAGCCAGGCAGTGGAAGGGGGGGAAGCAGGGCAGTGGAAGGGGGGGAAGCAGGGCAGTGGAAGGGGGGGAAGCAGGGCAGTGGAAGGGGGGGAAGCCGGGCAGTGGAAGGGGGGGAAGCAGGGCAGTGGGAGGGGGGGAAGCAGGGAAGTGGAAGGGGGGGAAGCAGGGCAGTGGAAGGGGGGGAAGCAGGGAAGTGGAAGGGGGGGAAGCAGGGCAGTGGGAGGGGGGAAGCAGGGAAGTGGAAGGGGGGGAAGCAGGGCAATGAAAGGGGGGAAGCATGGAAGTGGAAGGGGGGGAAGCAGGGCAGTGGGAGGGGGGGAAGCAGGGAAGTGGAAGGGGGGGAAGCAGGGCAATGAAAGGGGGGGAGCATGGCAGTGGAAGGGGGGGAAGCAGGGAAGTGGAAGGGGGGGAAGCAGGGCAGTGGAAGGGGGGGAAGCCGGGCAGTGGAAGGGGGGGAAGCCAGGCAGTGGAAGGCGGGGAAGCAGGGCAGTGGAAGGGGGGGAAGGAGGGCAGTGGAAGGGGGGGAAGCAGGGCAGTGGGAGGGGGGAAGCAGGGAAGTGGAAGGGGGGAAGAAAAAAGGGCAATGAAAGGGGGGAAGCATGGCAGTGGAAGGGGGGGGAAGCAGGGCAGTGGAAGGGGGGAAGCCAGGCAGTGGAATGGGGGGAAGCAGGGCAGTGGAAGGGGGGAAGGAGGGCAGTGGAAGGGGGGAAGCAGGGAAGTGGAAGGGGGGGAAGCAGGGCAGGGGGAGGGGGGGAAGCAGGGAAGTGGAAGGGGGGGAAGCCAGGCAGTGGAAGGGGGGGAAGCAGGGCAGTGGAAGGGGGGGAAGCAGGGCAGTGGAAGGGGGGGAAGCAGGGCAGTGGAAGGGGGGGAAGCCGGGCAGTGGAAGGGGGGGAAGCAGGGCAGTGGGAGGGGGGAAGCAGGGAAGTGGAAGGGGGGGAAGCAGGGCAGTGGAAGGGGGGAAGCAGGGAAGTGCAAGGGGTATGGATGGTAGGGAGGGGGGTTGGTCGTCTTGAATTGCCCCTTGGTGTCAATAGCTCCGGCCACTCCATTCCTCCCTGTATTTAACGAGACGGATCCTCCGCCCCCCAATCAGCACCCGCGTCCCCATCCACTTCCTGTCGTATCCTCATCCATCCCACCTCCTCTCCTCCTCCATCTCACTTGCAGGCCATCCAGGACCCACTCGGCAAGGCATCACGTGTGCAAGCTCCCATCACCCAACCCAAGCCCACCCATTCTTTCGAGCTGGTGGTTCTATAAGACCAGCCGCAAGCGGCCCATTCTGGCTTGGTAGGTCTCAGAGCCATAGACCGTGGGTTTGTAAAGCCCCCTAGATGATGTAAAGAGGCTAGTTGTATTAATAAATATCACCCTGTCGAGAGCATTGGAAGCATAACCTCCCCCGATGTATTAATAAATATCACGCCTTGAAATGTTTTGTACCCCTTGCCAGTGAGCGATTGTGGCCATCACAAGGCATCCGTGTTAGTGGGACATGTGCGGTTATATTTATGATGCACAAGAATAATCCACACCAACCCCGCCCGGCCAACACCCCAACGGCACCACGGGCGTGCACCACAATCGCCGCCCAGATTACCGACGCTGCCGCCAGTGGGAACGCGTGTTACCCTCGCCCCCAAACCTATCCCACCCAGTCTTCCACTATGGGAGCCTCCACTTTTGCTTCATGCCCAAGTATTGGGCTTGGCTCCACGCATGGCAGCGAGGTGTGCCCGGAGACTTCCTGCAGTGGGGAAGGGTTGGAGAGGGAGGTAAATGGTGGAGTAAGGAGGGGCTTGGAGGTGAAGATGCCACTTCCACATAGCACCTGCCCACGCAATATCCATCAGACATGGCTGGGAGCATATGCGCCATGCCTATGCATCTTGCACACACGCCACACCTCGCTGACCACGCTCCACACCCCGCTGACCCACGCACTTACTCACCCTTTTTCACACCACCCGTACTGCATACACCCCTCACCCATGCGCTGCGCACCTCTCACAATTGCAAGCAGCTCACCTCGCCATACCCCATTGGTGTGTACCCCTCTCACCTGCGCACTGCATACCCCCGCTAGAGCCGCACCCGATGCTGGCTCAATATCTAGTGGACCCACTCCACCACTGCCACCCGCCACTCTCCCTCCCCCCCCCCCCCCTCCCATCACTGCCTTTCTTTAAGAACAGACCATCATCCCACGCTTCAAACCACGCTTCGCCTTCTCACCACTGCTCTGCCCACCCATCTCTCCCTCGCTGCACCCATCCCTCTCTCCCTCTCTCTGCCCACCCAGCTCTCCCTTGCTCTGCCCACCTCTGGGCAGCCCACGATGCTCCCCGCTCTCTCCCCTGCTCTGCCCATCCCTCACAGCGGTGAGGGTGGCATCTGAAGTGCAATGGCATGAGTTGGCAGAGTAGCATGGGGTAGGGGAAAGAGCAGGGACGGCAGTGCGATGGGCTGAGGGTAAAGTGTGGATGGGGGAAGGGGGGAGCATCGTCGTGTATTAGTGTTGGAAGGGAGAGAGATCCATCAGAGAATGGGGGTGAGAGACAGTAAAGGGGAATCCGGAAACAAAAAATTGAGCAGACGAAAGGGGGGGTATGCGGGGAGATTGCATGGAAGTGACAGGGCCTCGATCTAGGGTCGGGGATTGTATGAGCATAGGACGCCTACCAGCAATTGAACTGCCCCTAGCGGTGGCGTTGTGAGGAGTTTGGTGAGGCAGTCTGAATGGATGGCGTAGAGTGGAGGTCGCGGTAGGTGGAGGAGCCATGCGCTTCGCGGGGGTAATTGGTGACGTCACCTGTAGTGGATGGGGGGAATGTCAGAAGCTTGATTGAGTGGATTGAGGGGGACGGGGGAGGGGGGGGCGGGGATAGGGGGGAGGAAGCGGGGGGAGGAGGGGGGGGAGGAGGGTGTAGGGGCACCATGCAGATGATGGGCAGTAAGAGGTATTCACCAGGATGTGAGTGATGATGGCGAAAAACTCACCGAGAGTCCGACGCACGCCACGACCTGCGCGCCGGCCACCCACATGGGGCTGCGAGGCATGCCTCGCAGTGCGTGGAGGAGTTGCCACCAACAGCCCAGAGTCCACCCGCACTGCAGTATTTGTCGGCTCCACGCGCACCCGAGTACGTGGGCCGTCATCCTCACCACAGCCGCTAGTGGCGGCTGTCCTGCCAATGAACCCCTCGCGCTGCCACTCATCCATGATCCGGTCGACCCATGACCAATCCATTGGGCCAAGTGTGCGGGTATTTTTGCCACGCCGTATCCGCGTCACCCGAACGTTGCGAGTCACGTATGCCCTCACTAAACGCTCCTGGCAGGTGTTCCAATGCAATACTGCCAGCCCCGTTCGCGCGCGGAAGCTCCCACGGAGTCGGAGTCGCTTCGGCGCGTACTTGCAAATTAGGGAGTGGAAGGATTCGTTCAGTGAGCTGCATGCCCCGTGGACGTAATATTTCACCTGCTCAACTCCACAGTGCTTCTCAAGCCATTCCGTGACAGCTACATGGGTCGCCGACCTGGGTGTGTATATGGCACTCTCCTTGCCCCAATTCTCGGTTACACAACGAGGCGCCTCGCCAGCTCTTGCACACCGGTCATGCAAGCCCGCCCAATGATCGGCTGCCATGCACAGCTCCTCCGAAACCGCCTCGGGTGACTTCGGTGCTCCGTCCCGCCGGCAGACACCGCACCGCATCATGACGTGGTAGAAGTGTATCACAAAGCGTTGCGCCACCGAGACCTCCTCCTCACAGCAACCTCCCGAATCCCCTGTCGCCGCACGAACCCTGGGGCGCTTCCGGCGGTATGTCCACCGTGGTACAGCACCGCCATCCACCACTTCCAGTGGCACACTTGCCGGTTGAGCTCGCGGCATTGCGGTACTTGTGGCCTCAGGGCCACCCACAACGTTAGCAGCGACCGGCACCTCCCCTGTGTCATGACGAGAGGAGGGTGGCAGATGCACAAAAAGGGGTGCGTGTTTGTATGTGTCTTTGGCCACGACAATGCGGGATACATCACGTACTGCCACGTACGCCTTGCTGCCCATCGCAAACTCACCACTCAGGTCTTGTCGCTCTTGCCATGGTCGTGCCCCTCCTGTGAAATGCACGCCTCGCGCGTCCCCCGTATGCGCAAGAACCATCAGCATGGATGCCTCTGATGATGGGCGTATCCCGCGGGCCTGATCTCCGTCGTAACCCCACAACTCATCCACATCAGAGTGCAGCACCTCCATGGTGACAGGTCCAGCAAAACCCGCAGCTCCCACCTCCTCGTTAACGCGATCTCCGACTCCCACATTCACCCTACTGCCAGAGCCACCATCCAGCATATTGCCATAGGAGATAGGGACCTCTACACCCATGCCGTCACCACCAACCCGTAGCACCTTCCTGAGCTCAGGATACTTGTATTTTGCATCCTCTGGCCGAATTGCTACAAACTCAAACCGCCCCAGCTCGGCACAAGCATGCCGTATGAGCGTTTCTTTGAGGACAGCCTCTGACTCCTTCGTCTTCTCATGAGCACTCAGCCACTGCCTAAGACTATCCACACTCGACACCCACAGGTCCTCAATGACACGGGCCTCCCCCACAGGCATTACTGCGCGTAGCGCATCTTGCAGATCCCTTAGAAACAACTTCCACAGGGACTGCTTTACATGCCACCAATCCACTTGGTGGTTCAACCCCCTATCTCTAGCCGCTCCCCTGAACGTAGTTCCTTGATCGGAAATAATACCATGCACCCGAAACCCCTTCGCTGCTAGTTGTTCCATTCCCCTTTCAAATGCGATACGCTCTAACACTATAGACGAGGGGTCATCTACATTCTTTTGTGTTACTACGACGTAAAGTATTTTACGCGATTTCTCGTCCATGAATGAAACAGTGCACCACTCGCCCTCCCTGACCTGTGACCATCGACCATCTACGCACACATAATCCCCTGCATCGTCGCGCCTAAGTATCTCTGCCCGCACTTCCTGCATCGACTTATCGGCCTCACGCACAATCGTTTCCCAAAGGCCTTTCTCGCCTGACAAGTGCTTGTAGAAAGTGCCTCTACCAGGGCACGGCAAGCTAACGTTCCGACAGAATTCCCACATCTGTTGGTACCCCATGCCTGCCAGTGCAAACGCACCTAAGAACCTGGATTGTTGCACTGGCATGTTGGTACCCCTGACTCGTGCCGCGTCCACAATATCCCGACGTGTACATGTCCAGAACTCGACTGTGTGAATGCACTCCATGCAACCCCAATACAAACCCCACGATGCCCATGACCGACGCCACGATCGCAACTCCATTTCCCCACCGCACACCGCGTTATGCATGCAAACCATCCTAACTCCCTTGAAAAATCCTACCATGTGCCGGACCTCCACCAAGCCCACCGCTGACCCATCCAGATCATCCAGTCTCGGTGCGGGATCCCACAGTGGCGGGACTGTCCGTCTGGTGGCCAGTCTGGGGCCACAAAAGGGCGGCCTGAGAATAGGGGGAACAAGGGAAGGTTGGTATGATGGTTGGGCACAGCAATGACTTGGGCAGCGGGGGGAGGCTTAGGCTAGCTCTAGACGAAGAGAAAGCAGGTTTTGCAGGTGCGGCATTGGTACACGGAGCATGTGACACGTCGTGCACACAATGCAATGGAGGAAGAGTGGGTTTCGGGAGTCGAGGCATTAGGAAGCATGGGGTGCTATTCGCACCTGCAAGCATGGGGGTCAGCCCCAATGGTGCATGGCGCGCTCTGCTCTGGATGGGGTTGGACCTCAAGCCCCTCGACGTTGCTTATGGCGGGTGCCCTAAAGATGGAACAGGGCGGATGCGCATAATCAGACCAGAGTGCTGGCACAACTGCAGCATAGGCATAGGCCTAGACATGTGCATCGACATGGCAACAGGTTGGGCACAGCAATGACTTGGGCAGCGGGGGGAGGCTTAGGCTGGCTCTAGGCGAAGAGAAAGCAGGTTTTGAAGGTGCGGCATTGGTGCACGGAGCATGTGAGAAGTCGCGCACACAATGCAATGGAGGAAGAGTGGGTTTGGGGAGTCGAGGTATAAGGAAGCATGGGGTGCTATTCGCACCTGCAAGCATGGGGGTCAGCCCCAATGGCGCATGGCGCTCTCTGCTCTGGATGGGGATGGACCTCAAGCCCCTCGACGTTGCTTATGGCGGGTGCCCTAAAGATGGAACAGGGCGGATGCGCATAATCAGACCAGAGTGCCGGCACGGCTGCAGCATAAGCATATGCCTAGACATGTGCATCGATATGGCAACAGGTTGGGCACAGCAATGACGTGGGCAGCGGGGGGGGGGGGGGGGTGGTTTAGGCAAGCCCTAGGCAGGGGGAAAGCAAGTTTGAAGGTACGACATTGGTGCAGGGTCGACAAGTCGCATTACAAAAGTGGGCATGGGGAAATGATGCATTTGCAAAAGTACAGATGTCATAATTGTAGTGCGTTGCATCGTTGTATGTGCACATGTTGCTATGAGAATGGGTAATGAACATGCGCTTCGAATGTCTAACTCTAGCCTGCCTCCTTACCTCGCCGGCGCCTCGCGAGCTGCCGATGCGTTACCCTCTGTCGGTTGCGCATGGGGTGCGCTTGTCGTCACCGTAAGGCCTACTTCGTCGCCCGCTCCATGCCGCTCATCACAAGATGGGGAGCCCTCCGCTCCCTCTGCAGCACTCCCATCTGTGGGCAAGGGTAGCATAAGCACAGTGGACGACTTATTTTTCCACTTCTGTGAGGCAGTCTCATGCGTCCATCGCACATCGACTCCCAAATCCCAATACTGCATCCCCTACCAAAGATCCAAAACGCCTTACCCTTTTGTGCTTCGTAGGCTTGCCCTTGGCGTGCGCCACCCCATCCATTGCCCTCAGCCAGTCTATACTTTCCGGCCTCTGTCCACTTGTAGAGCGGAAACCCAAATCTGACCCCACGGAGAGCCCCAGTGGTTCGCGCTAGGAGTTGTGCGGCAGAGGCGGGTCCATCTCGCACACGGCTCGCGAATATGATCCCGTATGCTTTCTTGTGTCCCTCCAACAGCTTTGCTGTGGCCTTGGCATCGTTTTGGGGGACTGTGAGATTGGTAGATATATGACACGTGGGATGTGTGCAAGATTGGGCCCACAATCTCTGTTGGTAAGATCCCAATGAAACACCACCCACATCTGCCGCCCATCATTATCAAGCTCACCTGCAGCTAGCGCAGCCTTCTCAAGGCTCTCCACTGCGGCCTTGGCATGTTGGGCAAGGAAAAAAATCAGATCGTCCACTGTGGCGACCCTGTCCTGTAGCCTACACTTCCCCGTCAAACCCACACGCCACACCGCGACGAGAGGACCCATGTGGCACGTCATGGACACTGTGCCTCGCCGGGCCTCTGACACCGCCTGCTGCGCTGGGTGTGTCCCTCCTCCCACAGGCCTAACCATTTTGCACGTGCACTTCTGGCTGTCAGCAAACGATGGGGGGGGGGGGGAGGAGAGGTAGGGGTGGAGTGTGTCGCCAAATGAGCAGGGAGGCTTGACTATGGATGGGGCGGTGGTGCACTCTGGATGGGATGGTGGTGGATTGTGGATGGTGAGGAAGTGGACTTTGGATGGGGTGAGGGTGGACTCTGAATGGGGGGAGCTGGAATCTGGATGGGGGGAGGTGGACTCTGGAAGGGGGGAGCGTGGACTTTGAATGGGGGGAGCTGGACTCTGGATGGGGGGAGGTGGACTCTGGAAGGGGGGAGCGTGGACTCTGAATGGGGGGAGCTGGACTCTGGATGGGGGGAGGTGGACTCTGGATGGAGGGAGGTGGATTCTGAACGCGAGGGTGGTGCACTTTGGATGGGGGCAGTGGGCTCGGGGCTGTGGGGGTTGGGGTACAGTGGTGTGAGGGCAGGGGAGAGAAGGGAGGCATCTCGTGGTGAGTGGCAAGGAGGTCGAAGTGGGGGACGGGGGGGGGGAGGGTACTGGAGCGCGGGTTGAATGGTTGTCGAGGGAGGGGAGGCGGGGGCCTGGCTTGGGGGGGAGGGCGGAAAGGGTGGGTAAAAGGGTTAAAAGGGGTAGGATTGGGGCATGACGGGCATGACATACAGTGGCAGTTACTGGTTCTGTTTGTGGAGGACAGAGGGGGGTGTTTGGTGTGTAGTGGCGCCTTTGTGTGTAAAAGACGGGCCTTAGGGCCTGCTGCATGTACCCCCTCTCTCTGATGTAGTCGTACTCTGTCACCCCGCATCATTGGTCTATCCGCGTCCCCATTTTGCTGCCGTATCTCTCACAGGTACACTCGTTTGAACCTACTCACCGCTCCCCCCCCCCCCTTTCCCAGTTCGTTTCCATCCCCTGCTCTCCCAACCCTCTCAGATAGCTGAGAGGGGAGATAGCTGAGAGGGGAGATAGCTGAGAGGGGAGATAGCTGAGAGGTGAGATAGCTGAGAGATGAGATAGCTGAGAGGTGAGATAGCTGAGAGGGGAGAAAGAGGGGAGATAGCTGATTGGGGAGATAGCTGAGAGGTGAGTTAGCTGAGAGGGGAGATAGCTGAGAGGTGAGATAGCTAAGAGGGGAGATAGCTGAGAGGGGAGAAAGAGGGGAGCTAGCTGATTGGGGAGATAGCTGAGAGGTGAGATAGCTGAGAGGTGAGATAGCTGAGAGGGGAGATAGCTGAGAGGTGAGATAGCTGAGAGGGGAGATAGCTGAGAGGGAAGATAGCTGAGAGGGGAGAAAGAGGGGAGCTAGCTGATTGGGGAGATAGCTGAGAGGTGAGATAGCTGAGAGGTGAGATAGCTGAGAGGGGAGATAGCTGAGAGGTGAGATAGCTGAGAGGTGAGATAGCTGAGAGGGGAGATAGCTGAGAGATGAGATAGCTGAGAGGTGAGATAGCTGAGAGGGGAGATAGCTGAGAGGGGAGAAAGAGGGGAGATAGCTGATTGGGGAGATAGTTGAGAGGGGAGATAGCTGTTCTCGCTCTACCGCAATATGCCCTTCTCCCTCGCCGTGTCCCTGGCGTTTGGGCCGAAAATAAGCGCTGTTCTTGCTCTACCGCAATATGCCCTTCTCCCCCGGTGCTTACCTACTATTTCTCATTATTTCTCTCGCCTCACTCTCTCTCTTCCCTATTTTGTGGTGCCGAATCCCCTCTACTGCACGGTTCCGCTTTGCCGCCCAACCCTATCTCTCTTCCTTGCCACCATTCAGCCAGTCCCGCGTTCCTCGCAAATCTCCCACCGCACCTGCGGGTCGATCGCCGTTGTACTTCAGTCTTCAGTCACGACGGGCCCCTCTTTTCAGCCCCCCTTTTTTTTTCAAATGTCCTAGCTTGGGGAAGTCATAGGGAGGGATTCGCGCCCGCGCTCTATACCTAAAATGTAGCGTTGCTTTGCGTTCCAAGCACTGGGCTCGCCAAATCGTACGCTGCTCTGCTCCAGCGGGTGGGGTTGGCAGTGAGATTCAAGGCCTGTTCCCGAATGCAAACCAGGTTTTTATGTCCTGGTTTTGAGCAAGGGGAAGCAGGGCTATCGTTGTTTTCGTTTGCGCATTTTTGTTGTATGTGTCAATTCGTAGTACAAACGCAGCAGTTATGCGAACACGGTATGGTTGGGGCAGAGTGGTGCTGCCGTCCAGAATCTGCCCTGCGACCTCCCAGGTTTTGACGAGGTCTGTTTTCCCATCGCGAGGGGCCAGACCGTTTCGCGTGGGGCAGGCGCCTTTCGTGGGGGTAGATGGGCCGCTCGTCAATTTCGCTACCCAAACTCAAGACTCAAAGGTTTTGAGTCTTGAGTTTGGTCTGTCCGCTCGCTTTAAACTACACTTTTGTCATTCATCATTTAGGAAATGCCAACTTAAATGTAGACGTCGATTTTAACAAGAGGCATAGAAAAAATGTTTGGTCATTTCAAGCATGCGACGAAATTCCAGGGCGGTGAGCAATACAGATAGAAGGGACATTTCTTATTTATTATGGGTAATTACGTTGATTTTGATCAAATGACGGGTGAGTTTTTGACGAAGATTGGATTGTGACGTGTGCCATTTTCATGAACCCGGACACTAACGGATACATTTTGGAAAGAAAACGTGAAATGACGTATTAAGTTTTGACAAACACTGGTACTAGAACTTGTCATACCACCCCACCGACCTCCGCCATCCCCTCTCCCAAGGGCAAACCAGCTATAGGAAGGAAGTTATAGAGGTGAAAGTACAAGAGCTGAGCGGAGTACTCTTACGTGGTTCCCTTACAAGAATCCAGTAACTTTTTTGAAGAGCTTTCGATATCAATGAAAAAATCCTGGGACTGAACCTAAACATTGGCAGGTAAAGTTTTACATAAACCCGTTCTCCGTGCCTCACGAGAGAGATACCAGGATTTGGCGTATGGACGAAAACCCTACGGAAAGCCCTAAGCAGGGATACAAAATTCGTGGGAGATCAACCCTTTGTTACAAATGCAAAAAGTCACTTGGTAAAACATGGGTACTAATATTACTGAACAATACACGGACTCTATAGAACTGGGATTAAACTACGTGATATTGGACAAAACTGGAAAGATTTTTTTTTGCAAGTGCAAACAAGCTATTTGTACAGTAATTGGACTACGTACCTAACCATTTTCAATTTTATCAGAGGTTGCATTTATTGTTCATGCATGCAAATTGAGAATTTGTGTCTTCTCGTGCAATCTTATAACTGCTGTATATCTATTCATTCTACAAAGCAAACCGCGTTCGGATGGTTTCTCTTACGAGGAATAAATAATGAGATGAGCCTCCGGAGGGAATCAGGTGTACTCACCTTCCATGGTCAAAATTCTGTTCTTAACAAACTTCAAGGCCTAAGGCCACGACTCGCGCTTCACCCGCGCACAATAAAATTTCCAGCCAATCGTGCGTTGCTTGTTTTTGACGAGCAACGAAGTGGTTTCACTGTACTGTACAATGGCTACAGTGGCTGTAGAAAGGTCAGGATCCAGCCTTCGTAGGGACAGAACCGAACCACGTGGAAATAGCACAGTAGTGTTCAAATAGAATGTACAGCTGTACACAGTAAATCATATGGTTGTAAGGAAAATGTATTTCCTCATTAGACTAGTAAAGCATACACCACCATGACGGGGTTGCCCACACTCTTCTGCCATGTATGCCTGAACCACGTCACCCAAAAATGCCCCCCTGTCGAGTCGCATGCAACTTGTGTGCTTTGCACGTGCATGCTCGTCATGCGCGCTCCGCGTCCATTTCCAGTCGCACATCCCAGCTTTGCCAAACCTTGGTCGTGTTCTATCAATGCCAAACTTGTCAACGTATACATACATGTGCATGTTGAAGTTATAGGCTAGAATAGGTGTGTGTTCTTGCAGAGTGTTGGAAATATCTCAAAGAACTTAAGCGTTTCTGAAGTGTAACACTACACTCGAGGAAGACTACAAGGGAGCACGCGAGTCAACGGAGGTTACACGAGGGGGCGGACAAAGAATGCGAAAGGTCGCAACTGGAGGTTGCGACTGACCGTTACAGCATCATGGATGGTAACCGAAGTAGCAATCGAGTCGCTGTGCGACTCGATAAACCGTTCCTGTAACTGTACTCTACAACTGCTTTCTTATCTTCTATATATTGCTGTATGCTTGTTTCCTTAATCAATCACTTGTTCTCACATACTAGTACAAGGGTTCAACTGCCTCAACTTCCGCTGCACTACTCCAAGTCTCAAGTCTCTACAAGCTGGGACTTAGTCTCTAAAAGATCCTAAGGCCCTTTTTCAGCCCAACATGGTATGAGAGCTGGTCAGAGACCAAACTCCCAGCAACTACGCTCCATCAACAACCTGCAACTCAACTCAATTCAACGACTTCATTGATTACAAGACATGGACAGCAAGGGCAAGAAAGTCTCTACGGGCTCACCCAACGCCCAAGAAACTCAACACGGCAACTCTGTTCTGCACACCTCAGGACTGCAGACAGAGACCGGGACTGCTCAAGAAACAACGGGAAGAGCACCGGAGATGGTGACTCCGTCTCCCTCTTCAAGTGTGGACCCGAATCTCATGGAGAGATTCTTCAGCTTCATGTCACACTTCGACCAGCAGCAGCAGACAAGGACACCTGCGCACTCAACACAGAGCAATGGAGGGAATATGGGATTAGCGCCGATGAGCCTCGACAACTCATCCTTCGGGCGACACAATCAAGCACCTACTTTTGCGCCTTATCACTCTTCACCGGGGACGTTCGAGTTCATGCCGCCCCGTGCCCAGCCAACAGCAGCTGCATCACAACAAACACCGAACGAAATCTTAAGTCTTCAGGCACAGTTCTCACACGTAATTAAACTTCAGACATCCTCACCGTTCAACGGACACGACTTCTTTACCTGGAGCTTCGAGTTCGAGCTGCTGATGGAGGCCGCGCATCTTCTGGGATACTTCAACGGGTCCCTGCCATTCCCAAGCAACGGCACTGGGAAGGAACAAGAAATCTTCACGTATCAGTCGCTGCTGGCGTATACGGTACTCCTGAGAAACCTGTCACCACAAGAGCAGCAGAGCATCAGAACGTATCGAAGTTATGGAAACTCCGCGGAACTCGCATGGCATCATCTCAAGTGCCTCTATCAAGCAAACGACAGCGTGACACAAAGCAGACTCATGCAACAGCTGACAACAATACAGATGAAGACCGGGGAAAAGGCGATGCAGTATATGAGTCGCTGCCAGACCCTCCGCGACCGCCTGCTTCGGTGCGGAGGAACGATCACTGAAGAAAGCTTCGTGACACTTGTCCTCGCCGGGCTCGGGCCAGAATGGAGAACCACACGATCACTTCTTCGAGCCCACGGAAGAATTTCGGAGATGCACCTCTGCGCCGAGCTTCACGCTGAACAACAGGTGATGGATCTGTTCGAGGAAAGACAACCAAGAAAGCAACAGCAGTTAGTTTTCTACACTCAACGAAGAAACGACAACACCTACAATCGACGCGGCAAGCAAGAACGCGACAACAGGGGACTTACCTTCGTGCCGCCGTTCTGCCACAACTGCCAGACTTCCGGGCACTCCAAGGTCAACTGCAACCGCCCTCGCGTTTACCGTCCAGCAGACCCACAAGTCGCTTCCACTCAA